GGGGGAGAAAGTGGCTTCAGGTTGGTGCCTGGTAAGGGTGAGCAGGATGGGAAAGTGCTGTGGCAGCCTGCGGCGCCGGGAGAGCCCAGAGGCAACGGTGATGGAGGAGGGACCTTTGGGCGGGGGAGAGCTGGGGCATGTGAGTGGGTCAGCTCAGGCTGTCGTATGCAAAGGGGAGAAGCTGCGGTGCTGTTTTATCTCCCTCCGTCACGCACATCCTTCACGCCTCTTCCTGCCCACGGGACGCTCAGCCTGGCTGGGTGTCTGAAATGCAGCAGCACTGGCAGGAAGGAAGCGGAGGCAGCTGGAGCAGAGATAAACACTGTTTTACTCGGCACAGGCCAACTTGTACAGCCCCACCAAGCGCTCCCTGGTGCCCCACCGCCTACAAAGCCCATGGAAAGGTGCTCCTGGCCCTAAGAGTCAGAGCTGTGGAGGCAGAGAGAGGGGTGGAGGTACAGGAGGTAGGGAGCAGGGGTGGAGAGCATCCCTGCTCCTGGGAGTCACCCAGCAGGCAGGTAGGCTCCTCCCTTTGTTTTTCCTCCAGCTTGGATACCCATATGGGACAACCGGCTCTTCAGCATGCTGAAATGCTAGAGAAGACTTGGTTTTGCTAAATACAAGCAGCACAGGGCAGGTAACCGGAGTCGGACCCTTCTTGGCAGCTACTGCTGTAGATGATTCCCCCCCACACACTCCTTTCTGCCCCTGCCTGGGTACTGCCATGCCAGCTGCCCTTGGCTGCAGCCTCCATCCCTCCCCGGAGAGAGGTGCCCACCGCTTGTGGAAGGGGCACTGGTGAGCATTCCCCCACCCCAGCTCCTCTTGTGTTTATTTATTGCACGAACATAAGTTATTTTCACGTCCTCTTTGCCATTCCGCCTCTCGGCACAGCCAGGATGTTGGTACAGAGCCGTACTTTATATTTTATATATGCAAATCACATTTTATCTTATACTTATATAGAGCAAAAAAATACTTATTTATTTTCTGACTTACAGTATGTGTCCTACCTGACTCCTCTGTATTTTGTAGACTTTACAAATAAAGCAAGTTCTTTTTTTTCCACAGCGAGAGTGTGTTTGGTCATTCTTGAACTTCAGGATAGAGCTGTGGCTCAGTGAGACCAAGTTTTCTAGTTCTCTCTAGCTTTGCTGCAGGACACGTTCAAGAATGTGCCCAAAAAAGAGGGGATGGGGGACAGCTCATGACTTTTTAGAACACACACAGACTTGTACTCTCTGGAAGAAAAGGGGCTCAGTAAGCAAGCTTAATGCTGAACATCACCCCCCCACAGCACTTGCTCTCAGGAGCAGTTCAGCTGTGCTGAATCAGTTTTTCCTGGGAAAGGTAGTACTTTTCACTAGAAATATTCCCTCCAGGTTGCCCTGGGACCTGCTGTGGGAGGAGAGGCAGGTGCAATCAGGACAGCTCTACCCAAAAACTTCCCTGCTGAGTGACCTCAGTGCCTGACTCAAGAACAGAGAGGAGGAAAGCGGGGAGCTCATGCCCACAGGTGGCAAAAGAAGGGGAAGGAAGCATGGCAGGTGCCTTACCCAGAGGTGAAGCCTGACTTCCTCCCCCTGGGGAAAAAACCACCCTTCCTTGGAGCTGAGGTGGGAAGCGATGAGCATGTTACCCTGATGCCCAGGCAGGCCAGGTCCTAGCCTCCCAGCAGCTTGCAGTGCTCACCTGGTGGTTCTGGGTTTTACATTCATGTTCCCTCTTGCCACTGCAAACTGCCCCATGCCCACTGCTGCTCCTGGAAAAAAAGCCCTGAGCTGCTGTTTACTGGGGCCACTGTCAGAGAAAGCAGCCCCCTTTATCCCACAGGTGTTTTGCAAGATCAGGACTCATCTCTACTCCAGGTCTCTGCCCCAGGCTGCTGTAGCACTGCTTCTCATCAGCTCCTGCCTACGCAGACAGCATGAAGCTTTCCTCTCGAGAAAAGGACAAGGCGGACAAGACACACTGACCCACTAAGCCTCGGCCTCTGCAACAAGCCACAACTCCAAATCAGTTCAGAGAAGTCACCCACACAGCACCACGCAGAGGCGGCTTAAGTACAATCTATATTATCTCTATATTTTTATTTGTCATCATATTTGCTCATTTCTGCAGAGTATAACGTCACAAAGACCAAAATAGAGAGCGGCTTGTCGCTGAGCTCACATCAGTTAAACACGATAGGTACAAAACTAGGTGACTCTGTCTTATTTATCATACATTTTTTTTTTCAGTTGTTTATATACAAAGAACTACTCTATATGGAAAAATAATAAACAAATCCCATGGGTATGTTACATGGTAAACAAAAAGGAAGGAAGGAAGGAGAGGGGAAGCAGGTGAGGGAGAGCAGCTCCAAGGGCCTACTCCTGGAACCAAGATGTTTGTCAGGGCCCTGGGTCATCACAAGCAGACCTGCAAGACCACGGCCATGCCTTGGCCTCCTCGGTCTCAAGCTCTGGGTCTTATAAGATACTTGTTTCTCCAAGCCAGAGCAGCTTCAGAGCCAGTCCTTGCTCTGGCACTTACCTGTTTAGGGAGAGCAGGAAGCTCAGAGATGATTTTGTGTGGTGTTAAAAATATATATATAAATATAAAATTAATCACAAGCAGACCTGCAAGACCACGGCCATGCCTTGGCCTCCTCGGTCTCAAGCTCTGGGTCTTATAAGATACTTGTTTCTCCAAGCCAGAGCAGCTTCAGAGCCAGTCCTTGCTCTGGCACTTACCTGTTTAGGGAGAGCAGGAAGCTCAGAGATGATTTTGTGTGGTGTTAAAAATATATATATAAATATAAAATTATAACACATGGCAGCTGGCTGTTGTTTGGGCGCTAGTTCTTCATCAGGCTTCTCCAAAGGCAGCTAGTGCAAAAGGGTTATACTTTAAACCACTACGTACAGGAAGCTTCGAGAATATCCAGATCCTCTGCACAGCATATATATGCAGCATATATTTCAAAATAATTTTTTAAAAAACTGCTTCCCCAAGACTGGATCATCTTCAAGAGGGCAAGCCCAGAGATTTCAGGTCTTGGCCACCCAATGCAACAAAGATTGGGGAGAGTCACCAAGTAAGTGACACTGGGACATCATCAAGGCCTCCAAATGCAAGGAAGGAGGAGGAAGGGATCATGTCCCATGTCCCACCTCCCCAAGAGAGAGGGGGAGTTTAACATAAATACCTCACACTAAAAGTCTATCAATCAAAGCCATGGAAGATGGAAGGAAAGCCCATTCAATCTTCAGCCCTGCTTTCCAGGCAGCTTACAGCATGAGGAAAAGGGAAGCTTTTACAACTTTTACACCAAGCCCACACAAAGCCTGGCAGATAGCGTTTGCATGTCCAATTAAGCAGCGAAAGATTTAGGAAAAGCAGTAACTAACTGCACGGCATCACAGGATGTGTACAAATGGGGAAATCCAGCAGCAGGGAAGCTGCTGGATCCACTGACCCTGCCTCCAGCTCCCTCAAGAGTCAGCAGCATTGCTCCCACCTGCTTTGCCCTCCCCCCAGACACGCAAGTGCAGAGAGACACCATCCTTAAGCCTTCCCCTATCTTATCCTCACAGCAGGGAGCAAAGCCACCTCTCTTCAAGCCCTTTTCCCCTCCGCTCCTGACCACATGCTTCTGGCAGGGGTGCTGAGGAAATGAGGCGCTCTTCACTCACAGTCGCGTCTGAGAAAGTGAATGAGCAAGCACAGAGATTAGGATACAAGAGGAAAGGTGAACTCCAGGCTGTAAACCAGACCTCAGTTCTCCTAGCAGAGCAAGGAGGGGCAATCTGGAAAGGTGCAGGTCTGCTGATGGCAGGGTAGGCATCAAGCGGGAGAGGAAGAGAGAAACTACAGTGAAGAACACAGCAGCTTGGTCCAACCTCTCCACTTTGCTTCCTGCTTGGGGGCAGGGGCATCTCATCTGTGGCACTTGAGGGTGCTCCCCACTCCTCCCCTAGACAATTTTAAGCAAGCAGAGAGGCAATTCCTGGTCCCTGGATAGATCTACAGAGGAATTATTTTTATTCGGGCTCCACTAAATACCTAGGGGCCAATCCAAAACCCAACAAAAGCAAGGGGAAGCTTCTTTTCCCACTCCTGTGGATGCTGATTCCACCCTTGACAGCATTGCAGTTGCCTCAGGGTCTGTGAAACGTGCAGCAGCAACTGCTGCCTGGGAAACTAAGAGGGACAGTTTTAAGCAGCCAGGTTTCAAGTTTGCTCCAGTTTGGCCCCAGAACAGCTATGGAGATAAAAAGCAAAGGAGGAGTGTGCAACATCCCTTCCTGAATACTCCAGCCTAAGGGCAAAACTTGTGCAGCTGTCAGGGGAAGCCAGACATGACAAGCATGGGGTGAGCTACCTGCAAGAGACCAGGACCTGTCCTGGCAGCTACCTGGTGCAGTCTGCACCTTTAAGAGGGGCAGCTGTGTCAGTGGGGGACAGGAAACGAGAAGAAAAAACATTTTAGTGTCTACATGTTCCTTTCTCAAAGAGGGATGAAAGGGTCAGAGCTTTACAAACTTTCACCACCTATCACGGCCAGTTCTCAGTCTTGTTAGCAGGAGACAGACACTCCAGGGAGGCTGGAGTGGCTTTTTTGCCACAGGAATGCAGGGGAGATGGGAAGCTTGGACACCTGGTGATTAGACAACCCCGCCCTTGTGAGACAGTAATTCTGTCCCTGCTGAGCTTCAACAAGCATCAGCTTTGATGGGGAGCAGGGGGGATGCAGGGAGCAGAGGAACAGGAAGAAAGTCCTGGCCTTTTCCCCTCACTCACTCAAGTGCAGGACTGCACAACCAGGTGCTTAGGAGGCTGGGGGCAGATGTTCCTTACTTACTAAGCATTCAAGGCAATGGCTATAGAGAGACCAGTCTCTGGTCTGGTCCTCAGGAATGCTTATCGCTGCATCCTAATCCCATTTCCCAAGAATCACAGAGATGTTAGTACCAGGGAGCTAGGGGAGAAAACTGTGCCTACATCAACCATTCGGGAAGAGGAATTCAAAGCAGTCGACTTGTCCAGTTGGAAAAAAACCAAAAACATTTTTGGCCACAACTCCAGGATCTGACCAGTCACGCTCCACACCAAGCTGGGCAGGTGTGGGAGGCCAGAGCCCCAAACCCTGGAGTTTTGCTTCAATTAATTCCAGTCAATTGCTGCTGTAAGGAATGGGCTCGAGAATGGAGTCCTGGCCATCCCCCCACCTCCGCACCGCTCATTGTTCCGTACCCACAAAAGCTAATGAGAAGTGCCCACTTCTGCAATCTGCACTCTCTAGGGAGTGATATGACTTGCGTGTTTCTGCTTCAATAAGTTAAAAAAAAAATTAAAAAACAACAAAAGAAGGAAAATGACAGCCTGTGTTGGCAGTTTCCCCTCCTAGAATTCATCATCGGAGCTCAGCAAGAGGGTCTTCTCGTTGTCGCGGGCACCCGAGCAGCTGTGGGAGCGCGAGATAACGTGACTGCCGTTGCGCCAGGGTGGACCATGCTCCAGCGTTGACTGCTGGGTGTACTGCTGGTAAGCTGGTGAGAAGTTGTGGATCGCATCTTGGACAATGTCATGGGGGTTCATGGTCTCCTTCAGGCTGCTGGAGATGCTCTTCATGGGAGCACAGCGACCTGTTGGTGCAAGATGGGGAGGGACGAGTGAGGAATACTGCTGCCTTCCCCCACACCCCTTAACGCGAAGGTAAGGAGAACAGGGAACATGCACTCCTAGATCCTGCAGAAGTTACTTTACAAACTTCCTTAAGCAGCTGCTGAGGAAATGCCACGCAAATGGTGTCAAGTTTTACCAGTAGTGCTCCTAAATCCAGCCACTGCTAGCCAAGTGAATCCACTGCAGCACCAAATGGGGGACATGCCATGAGAATGGGACATACCCACAGCCACAACCTCCACTACACACTACCTGTGCTGGCTTGGGTGCGCAAAGACAGTAAGGCAGGGAGGCGCTCCTGTAAAGGGTTTCAGAAGACAAAAACTAAGGAAATTCTAAAAATATAGGAGAAGTGGCATTTGCCATTCTCACTCACTGGAAACTAGACTGATAGGTGGTATCGATGTGCCCGCAGGAAAGAGATCATAGAAGTGGAAAGCAGCGCAAAGGAGGGAAAGGAGGGGAACAGGCAGTACTAGAGGCAGAACCACACCATGGGTGGAGGGCGTCACAGTGATACTGTGAAGGAAGCAACAGTTGGAGACTGGCCCACCCAAGCGCGGAACACAGAGGAAGGCTGTGTCTCCTTCTAGGAGCTGCCATTTCTCACGGCTTCTAGGTCCCATTTCCAGTGTGGGCTTCTGGCTCCGCTCAGTCCTGGGGATGAGCTCCCCAAACAACCAAAGCACGCTGATCGTCTGTGGCAATTATGAAAGTGAAGGGAGGCTGGGGTGAGAGAGCAAACTGGCTCACTTGAAAGCCTGTGCAACTCTTTGGAGAAACGTTCACACAGTCCTGACAGAAACACTCTAAAGCTCGGTGTTATGTCACTGCCCATGGGGCTGTTTTACAACTTAGAATCCAGACAACCCTAAAGCAGCTGAGTTACAGACCTACAAGGCAGGGGGAACAAGGGACAGAGCAGGCAGTAGGCAGGCTGGGAATCAGGACAGAACATCACAGTTAAAAACCAACAAACACACAGAGCATGCCGTACCTACCGTATGGCCCATATGATGGAACAGCTGCATCAGGGACCAGTGGCCAAAGCAAGGGAGAGATAAAAGGGAGAGGGGAGAGAAACAGAGAAAGAAAGAAAAAAGAGAGAGAGGGGAAATAACAAGAACTGAACAAGACCCACCACCAAAACATCCCCCACTGTACTGGCCAGCAGGTTACCCTTTCATCACCCACAGATCTCATCTCCCCCAGCTGTGGCCACTGTCCTTCCAAAACCTCTGGGGCTGGCTGGGATGGAGGGATCAACTACATGATCACTGCCCAAGGGCTGCTGTCTTCCTGCACCTCAGCACAGACTCCCCCCAGCAGGAAGGAACCCCTTTATTTGGAGAACATTGACTGTACTTGCATACACTGGGCACAAGAACCCCCTTTCCCAGAGATTAACATCCACCCTCCTCTTCCCCAGAATAAGACTTCTAGCAGCCCAGCCCTCACAAAGTCATTACGAAAAGATCCTCCTCCTCCGAGTCAAACATATTGCCAAAGCACAGCCTCATCTTCATGAGCCAGATTCAAAACAGAGCCTGTTTCAGGCCCTGTCCCTCCTGCCTTCAGTCTGTTGCACAATCTGGAGCAGTGGAGTTCCCCTTTGGGGAGACAGGAAGGAGGACAAACCCACTCTACCAAAAGGATGCAACTTCTTGCAGCCCTCAGGTCTGCAACAAGCTGTCGTGGGTGGCATACTGGGGAACTGAAAAGGGAACGATGCAATTCAGGCAAGGTTTCTGCCCTGCGGAGCCATTGCACAATGAATCTGTTCAGACACCACAGAGGAGGGGATGTGATGTTTTCCAAGCATTCAGGTTGGGAGTCATATCAGTGTGCGGGCTGCCGGAGGGACCAGTCTCCACCCAGTCTCACTACCAAATGGATGTGCCATATGTACTGGCGTATTTCCTACCTTGGGCATCAAGTCTCTTGTCCACATACACCTTGTATGTGAAGGCATGGCGCAGGGCGATGGCTGCAAAGAACATCTCCACGCAAATGATGAAGTCCTGATATCCAGCAGCTACTGTGCCTTCACCCACAGACACACTGGCAGAGTGGATTTTGGGGATGGCGCCACACTTTTCCAAAATGGCCAACAGCATCCCTAAACAAAGCAACAAGCTCATGTAAATGTGCAGAAAACATGATCGCATACTAACTGTAAGGAATGGAAATAGCTGTCTCTGCTGCATATCCTAGATGCAAACCCATTTAACACAGGAGCTACAAACAGAGCCCGCTAGATACTCCCATCTACACTCATCTGTACAACAGAGAAAGGAGGAATAAATGAGACAAATATGTTTAAGCAAAGAATGTTCAAACACTGACCCTCTTCTAGTCTCAACTGACGCACAATCTGTGGAACTAGAATCAAGTCCAAAAGGGTAAGAAGCAGTCAGATATTTCTGTGAGCACTTCTGTGATCTCAGTGCTTCCACTAGCTAGAGCAAAAATTAAAGTAACAGAGCTTTTCATTTAAGCATAAAGTGGTTTTGACACACCATTGCAAGAAAGATGTTTCTCCCTGTCCATAGCCAGGTGGCTGAAGAATTCCAGAGAAGGCAGAAAGCGTGTGACCAGATGGCTCAAGATGATAACCTAGACAGCTTATTAGTTTGTCTGTAGACAGGGAGGATGGGCCACACTCCAACAGCCTAAATTCCACCTAAGTTCCTACTCAATTAGTCTTTGAAGTGCAACTCAGTAAACCTAAGTAGGGCGTTGAACAGGGAAATGCTTAGAGCCAATTAGTAAGAAGCACTAAGCTTAGGTGGAATTTCAGCTTTCTGAATGTGCCTCTGCATCATGTGTACGTATTCTGAACGTCCTTCCGCTTGGTGGTAATTCTGTGGCAGCACACACTGTATTCAGCCAGCTTGCTGCTTCACATGAATCACAGACATACCATTAAAATTTTATTTATGAAGCACTAAAAAAAAAAAAAAAAGTACTAAAAATCTTTTTTGATGTGCCACTTTAATCAATAAAATGGCAGCATGCAGATAAAATGTTGGCAGTTTGTGCTTTATGATTGTTCCAGGAATGCAAAGGACTCTTCATCCAAACAGCTGATTTTGCCAGGCAGATACGTGCACATGCACAGGGATAGTGAGGATTCAGAAGCATAGAAACAAAGATGAAAATGAGGTTTCCCAGAGAAAAGCAATGAAGGACTGTAAAACAAATATAATAATAATAATAGAAAAAGACATTCTGGCCATTAATCAGCATCTGCTCTATCAACTCTAGTGCCTGAGCCCCTACAGAGAGCTTTGTGCCTACCAAGGGAAGGGAAAAGCAGCTCACCTTGCCAGAAGGACAGGAAGATGACAGACTTCACCATGAAGAACTTGAGGACTGGGCTATAGGGACTGAGCAGGTCACGTGTGGCAAAGTAGAAAAGGAAAAGGGCGTACAGTGCCAGGCTGACAGAGATGTTGTAGATGATCGTTACATAGAGGTAGCCACTGGTTACACTGAAAAGAGAAGATAAATCAATGCTTGAATTTTCAGCATGATCTTTTCCCCTTGTTGCTTCACTGGAGTGTTCTAAGACTCCATTTCCTTCCTGCCTCCCTGTCCCATTCCCTCCCACAAACTGAGGTAGAAAAAACCTGAAACAACAGCCTTATGCCCGCCCTCTTTTCTTACAGGCATATTCAGCCCATGTTGTCTCCCTGTCTTTTCCCACGGCCCAGCACACACAAGGACCATAAGCACAGCTGGGCAGAGAAGGGGCAGCTGAGACTTGGATACTAGACAAACTTACTCAAAGTCACCATCCTGGTACTTGCCGAAGGCCTGAAGGATGACTGTGCTAATCGCCATGAGGGGCTTCACCACACAGAACTGCAGGGTAGCCTACAGGAATGAGAGAGGAGGAATGAGGAGGCAGGAGGTGCAAGAGGCCAAGTTCCCAAACCAGCACCATGATGAAACGTCCACTGGGACAACACAGCAAGGTAACGCAGTCCAGCTCTGACAAGGAGTCTGACCCTGCCACTTGCTAATCGATTGTGCTTGAGGACTGCAACACCCAAAAGGAGATAAAGAAGATTCAGAAGTATGTGTGCTATCTACTTGCCCTGAATGGGAAGAAAAATCTCTCTGTAGGTTGCTCCTGGAAGCTGCTCAGCTGCTCTCTTCCAGAGCTGTTTCTCATAGACTCTACTGCAGCACATTTATGCACGGTAACAGCATGACAAACAAAATGATCCCACACTGTGCTATGGTACGGACATAGCAAGTTTAACAAAGGGATACTGGGGAAGGGAAGCAAACCCCAATCCATAGCTGCCATAAAACTAGGCAAGAAGGTCCCCAGGATAGGAAGGGAATCCAGCTCTCTGAGGAGGAACTTTGACAACTGCCACCTTATTAAGGCATTTTGTATGCACAACAATGTGTGTTGCCAGATAGAAGTTAAGAGCTTTTGTTGTCACCCACACAACCTTTACTGCATCTCCCCGAAGGCTCTGTGGCACTTGGGATCAGCTCTATCCACTCTGCCAGTATCAATCACTGCTCCTATTGGGATGATTCCTCTCTCAAAACCACCCCATTCTTCATGTTTCTGGAGACATTGAACTTCAAGGTCCTAAGAGAGTGCAGGGTTGTGACCCTAAAAACATCACTCATGTCTCCCTGAAGGAGGCTGGAAGAGCCTGGGGAGGTGCTGACCTGTGCACATGTGGGGAGGGCTGCATATGGAAAGAAGGGAAAACCAAACAGGAATAATTGGTTTGGATACGATGCAATTTGTTAGTGGTCATAAGACTTCAAGGAGATTAAAAACTCCAGCACATGCCAGTTAGTGAGTCACTGTAAATATGTGAACTGAAAAAGGTCAAGCTAATTGGTAAACAACTGCGTCCTTGGAGCTTCCCCTCCTTCCAATCTGGGGATGTTTTAACCATTTCCCTGCAATCCAAACCACCACGTCTTATTTTTAGTTGCTTCCCTAGAAGACGCTACAGCATACAGGAAGCACATGGATGGTGTGTGACCCATCTGTGAGAAAGAATCTTGACCAAAACATCTTTAAGGAAACAAGCTGTCCAGATTTTACACCACAGCCACCAGCACACCACCCGACTGCTGGAGGGCCGCAGGCAACACAGGAAGACTGACTGACCCCCAGCAGGCACCTGCCTGAGAACAGCCTGGGGTAGGGGTGAAGATGAAAAGAAGGAACAGTTATAACATGCAGATTCCTTCAGGATGAAAGGGGCTGGAAAGAGCAGAAAACGGACAGGTGGCAGTGGGAGGCAACAGGAGTGCTGGAGATGCTGAGAGCCGGGATAAATTGGGCAAGGTGCTCTTCCAGCACATTCCTCTTCCTGATCACCACGATGGTGGATACTGCACAGATCAGCACTGTTGCCCTTTTGCACCAACCCACCCAGGAATTAGCCTTGAGAGGTCTTCCTCAGCAATCCTAGAAGTACTAGAAAGTGAATCTTGGTGCCAAAGATTTCTCACCAAGGCAACATTTAAGCTTGAGCCAAGAAGGACGGAAGTACTTAAGCATCCCTTTGCAAGACACCTCCCTCATAGTTTCCACAGCAGAGTTAGCAGTTTGCAAAGGACAGGCCTGACTAGAAGAATTGCTGCCAGATAGCAGCAAAGCAAAAGCAAAATACCCACCTAAGCCTGAGTTACCAAGTAAGCTGAGGATTTGTGGAAGCAGGCAGAATCCCCCACCATATAAGTGCTTCTAGTCTTCAATTGTTGTGGGGGGAAAAAAAAAAAAAAATCCAAACACAGCCAGGTGCAACCCAAGTGGACATAACTGCCAGAGGCTGCAGGACATCGAGAAACAAGAGGTCTAAGTGAAATTATTTCTCCAGCACTCATTCACCTTGATGGGTGTTACGTTTGCTTATGATGCATTTAAAAGGTAAAAGTTAACATTAGGAGCAAAAAGAATAGATAACACATCGGATCAAACATGGGGTGTATAAATGAAGCCCAAGAGAAACAGGTGAAGCAGCACAGTGGGAGCAGCTTAGAAAATAAAGTATCAGGGAAGAAAACAGGAAAGCCATGAGGAAAGAATATGAGACAGAGAGAAACAGAACAGAGAAAAGAAATATGTGATCCTTTGAAAAAGGCCAATCATGCTGCAGAGATTAACATTGGATATTACTATGAGGCTGCATTGTACCTTTGATGTTCTTGCATATTGTTCAAACACAGAAGATGGGGCATGATGTGGAGGAGAAGCCATGGACAGATATCTAGACCCGGTGACCAGAATTACAGTGACCTGAGGCCTTTCAGAGAACCAGACCTGCTTCACACTGTCTCCAGAGAAACTTCATGTGTTCATTTCAGCAAGTGAGCAAAGCCTTGAAACCCACCTGCTGTTTCATGACAGCCAGAGGTGACTGACCTGGGCTGAGCAGACGAGGGCTGTATCAAAGTTTAGATCTCCCCCATGCCCTCCCCCTCGACATACCCAATTCAGCACAGACACACACAATGAGCAATACTCTGTTCCTCCTACAAAGCGTTGTGTCATGCTTAACCTCCACCCCCTCCTCAACTCCAAACCACAACAGCAGCACTGGGAATTCAGGAGGCTGTTACACAACTGTGGGGTGTCTGCAACACAACACAGCCATCATTTCTTAAAGTTGGGACCTCTGCAATCCAGAAAGGAAAGAGGAAATCAGAATTTCTTCTCAGGGCTAACATCAGATCCAGGAGATAAATTTGGTCTTTTGCTAAGGCCTTCCTGATGCGGGGTTGAGTAGAAAATGTTATGATCATTCAAAACAAGCAAACCAACCAACTCTGAAACACCTCCTCTTTTCAGCAGTCTGCAGGCCTCTCAAAATGATATTATAAATCCCCTCAAAAGGAGTGCTCATCTCAGCTGTTCAGCAGCAAAAGGCACCATTACCACCCACACGTGCTTCATTCATTTCTAGAGGATGGCACAGTTTCTCCAGCCCATACCTGTTTGCAGAACCTCAGGAATCCAATCGAGTAGGTCTTTCCCCACAGGCAGCAAGTCCCATATACACAGCTGGACCTGAAAGAGCCAGCACAAGATGACAGGGTTCAGAAGCAAGATTTGGGCTAGAGTGCAAGATTCCTACCCTCTTTGTCTACCTCTCTGTAGCAAAGTTGCAGAACTGATGCTTTCTCCAACCATGATTACAGTTACAGCCACACCCTCTTTCAGAGACTTGTTTAAAACAACACACTCCACACTCCAATTGTTTTTGGTTGGGTTTTTTTCCCAACTGAGTAGCATGGGGAGAAACACAGATCCTAGAGGAAGCACACACAAGCAACTGAAGATAGAAAAGATTTAAAGGAGAAGGGAATAAGAAAAGAAACAAAGGAGTAAGCAGGTGTCCAGAAAAGCAGTGAATCAGCACAGCTGGCCTACGAGGATGCGATCAGCCTGATCTGTCTCAGAGCAGGGTATTGGTAAATCATCACCATCCGTGCTGCCCAGTCCCAGTAGACATTTGCAACCTGACACAGTTTTTTGAGGCAGGAAGAAAGGCATGGTAGATGGGCACAGAAGGAGGAGAGCGTCATGCTGTAAGCACAATAAATACTCACTCAATTGTTTTCCCTCTGATCTCAGACATGATGGAGCTCTCTCCTCCCAAGTACTCATAGCAGAGGCTGAGAAAGTTGTATATTACAAAGGCTGCAAAGACATCAGAGTAAAATGACAACCAACTTCAAAACAGGTGCAAAGACCAAGAGTACAGGCAACAGACCAAACATTAGCAGGGACTGCTTATGCAGCATCTTTCCCTTCAAAGCACTCCAGATTATTTTCACTGTATTTATCATCCTACCTCAGCACTCACAAGACCATCTGAACTGGAGTTTGGCCAAGGTCCCAGGCCAGTTCCATGACTCATGCCAAAAGGGTCACAGGACCATTTAAAACTGTGGTCAGTCTCTGTTTTACTTGGCATCTGTAAGATGCCAGTCTTTACAGGGTTTCTGTGCATTATTCCAGGACATTACACTGGTACTAAATAATTTGGAAAAGTTATCTCTGATCCATACACCATATCTTATCTCCTGTATTTAACCTTTTAGGTGATGAACCCAGTTTCTTTCTCTGAGGTAACCAGACTATAAAATATGAGCTGGAGAAACAGAGGGTTTTACCAGTCAGTGAAACACTATGCACATGTCTGCTGGAGATTTTTGAAAAACAGGCTCTGTGCTTCATTTCTTCAGAAAGCTGAAATTTCTTGCATACTAAATAGCCACTCCTTGGGCCACCTCTTTTCTGCCTTCCAGCAATGTGGTACAGATGAGGAAGAGCCTTCTCAGACTGACCACTAATACTCTACCGCATTTCAATTCTCCTCAAGGCTCAGTTTTGCTGATACACACAAGCTGAGGTGAAGACACTGTGGGGAAGGCTCTCATCATAACTACAGACATGTTTCCTTTTCACGGGTTCCAAACCCACTTAATTGTGCATGCAGTAAGGCTGTACATGCCCTGCCTGCCACTCTCTTGACTTGTAATCACTGTTGGACCCTCCCCACAGTTGTGAGATTTTACAAGGACTGTATTCCTATGTTTGCCATACAGCCTTGGGGGCAAAGTGACAGACCAGGTGACCCTTCTTTCAACATTATTTTCTATCATATCTGTACCTGGACATTCCCTGGAATGTCAACTACCCAAATCTTGGTTTTGGCCCCCAGCATTGACATAATACAAAGAGAAAATAACTTGGGATGGAAACAGAAGTCTCAAGGAACTTTGAAATAAGAACAAAAGCATAATAATGTACAGCGCTAAGAAGATGACCTCACCAAGCAGCCAGTTATTAGACCTGAGGTCAATTTTCCCACGTGGATGGACTTTCAAAGTCAGAGACAGACATCAACTCTAATTCTTCTGCAAGTATCCAAACTACACCCTGGAAAAAGAGGTACTCAACCCTACTCAAAATGCTCATAGTCTCAAAAGATTATATTTTATGGCTTGTAGACGTGCCTAGCTGGCAAGAATGCTACAGCACATAAAAGCCAGTGGTATACCTGCTTCTATGTATGTAATTGGGATATTGTTATTCCATCTGTAATCCTTGTTATTGAACAAACTTAGGTATGTTCACACAGCAATGATTTTGTGAAAGCTTTAATTAGGACAGAAAATATCAACCATGGAAAACTTAAATAACTGTGGAAACCCCTTTTGCCTGCAATTTTCCTGCAACTAAGCTGACAGCTTGCAGCATCCAGAGGAAGAAAAGTTGAGCTTTTCCTATTGTCCTCCAGTGACACCTGCCCTCTGATATGGTCATTACAATACCAGTTGCCCATTCCACAAGCACTAGGGAAGAGGTAACATCAGAGGAAGAAAACAAAAACCAAACAAACAAAGGGAGGGAGAAAATCCCCCCAAAAGAAATGAGTGCTAACTATCTGTCCTGGTTTAACCCAGCAGGCAGCTAAAACAACCACACAGCTGTTCACTCACTCCCCCCTCCCAGTGGGATGGGGGAACGAATTGAAAAGAAAAAGGTAAAACTCATGGGTTGAGATAAAGACAGTTTAATATGACAGAAAAGGAAGAGAATAATAATGATAAAAGAATATACAAAAAAAAAGTGATGCACAGCAGAATTGCTCACCACCCACAGCCAATGTTGAGCTAGTTCCTGAGCTGCGCCGCCTCCTGGCCCACCTGCCAGTTATTTACTGAGCATGATGTCATACGGTATGGAATATCCCTTTGGCCAGTCTGGGTCAGCTGTCCTGGCTGTGCCCCCTCCCAGCTTCTTGGGCATCCCCTGCCTTCTCATTGGCAGGGCGGTAGGAGAAACTGAAAAGTCCTTGACTGCTTGGCAACAACTAAAACATCAGTGTGCTATCAACATTCTTCTCATCCTAAATCCAAAACACAGGGCTATACCAGCTGCTAGGAAGAAAATTAACTCTGTCCCAGCTGAAACCAGGACACTATCAAAGCTGACCACACCAGCAAAAAAACTTTTCTTCCATTCCTGATCCACATTCATCAGATGGTGCTCATGATATCAACGTAACAAAAAAAATCTACTTTTGTCAGTGTTACTGACACCCAGGTTTGTACAGAAGCAGAGTCACTTGAAAGAGCAACACCAAAATACGTTCATCCTAAGGCATACTACGAAGCCCATAAATGGTCCACGACAGCCCATAAATGGCTCAAGACAGCTTTCAAAATGTATTAACAGGGTCTTCTCCCCCTGTTCCCTAACAGACCTTCCCCCATGTTGCAGCCTAATACCTTCCCAAAAATGAAATTATAAGGTGGATAGCACAGGAAGGCAGAGAACAAAAAGACTGTTTCAAAGCGGTCCCCAGAAAAAGCGAGGGAGAGAACCTGCTTTCACCTCCACCTGTAGCCTTTTCGCACAACCCAACATACTGAGGTGGACTCTGGAGCATGGGCTGCCTCCCGAGCAGATGCTCAGATGTTTGCAAACTTCTTGAGCAAGAAAGGCAGAGGGATACTGGCTGTTGCTAGGAGAGGAGTTTCGCAGAGCAGCAGGCTTCCTGATAGACCTACACACGCATGCAGGGAGGGGAAGGAGGGAACAAAAAAAAAAAAAACCCCAGGCCCAAACAAAGACGCCTTCTGAATCACGTGCACGCATTTGCCATCTGCTCCTGCATCCCAGAGCGTTGTCATGGATGAAGGAGGGCCTGCTGGTCCCTTCAGCTGATTAACTTGTTCACATGGCCAGGGGCACCTCTCTGCAATGCAGATCTCACCAAAAACAACTGCACCAGCAAGTTACGATTTAATGAGGGTATGGTGATAAACTGTCCTTAAAAATACATTGCTAGAGTGCAGTTTCTCCTGCTGGATGGGTAGAATGCTCCTTCCTGGATGAGACCAGGAGGGAAGTTTAAATAGCATTTACTGGAGAGTAACTATTTCCCTCACATAAAGTGCTGGTGGTATCATCTGCAGCAGGTGACTGAAAATCTGCAGCAGATAACAAAAATGAAGCAATCAGTAACTTATCCTGAACACAGCACCCTGTCTCCTGCAAGGCTCCAAAGCACTTTACACCTCACCAACACCAGCATGTGGTGGCTGTGCTACCCTGCATGATCACACAAGTGGCCGCAGGATGGGACCACAAGAACATGTCACTAACAAACTGCGCCAGGAAAACAGGACAAAACAAGTGTCTGGCCGCTAAGTAAGTGTTGTTCCAAGAACCGGGAGCTAACCTATACCTCCCTTTACACATCCAGCTAGAATCAGATTTTTGGCTTTACACCTTTCTAAGCAAAGCAAAGGAACCAAGAAAATCATAAGCTTTGTCTCTACAGAACATTGGAGGAAAGGCTCCACACATCTTGTCATGCTCAGAAGCCAGCAAGGGAGAAGCCGGGTTGGACAAGGCTTTGAGCAACCTGACCTAGTGAAAGATGTCCCTGCCCATGGCAGGGGGGGGGGGGACTAGATGATCTTTAAAGGTCCCTCCCAAACCAAATCATCCTATGACTCAATGATTTTTTTTCAGTCAGTGAGCAAGCCATGGTCAACCAGTCAGGCACACCGTAAAACTTTGTCTCAGTAGGTGACAGATGCTTTCTCCATGTTCCCAACCAGAAGCAAAAGTTCTTTCAGGTCAGAGACTTCCCACCTCCCCCATTTTCTGTCTGACCCCTCCTTACCTTCATAGCAGTCCCGCACTGTGCCAAAGTAAACATAGTACTGGTCATTGGTGAAGAACAGGAGACTGAGCCATGAGTCAAAGGCGTAAATGGGCACAATGAAGAGGATCCGAACAATGTAGCGCTGTTCATTTGGGCAGCTATAGCAGCGAAGATGCATGTAGATCTGAGAGGATGGAGAGGGGAGACACTAGGATCAGCAGTATATGGAGTAGAGAGGAGAGAATGGAACTGGAGAGTCAACTGGGCCACGAAAAACAAACTCAGTAAATCACCTCTTGATTGCCTCCTGCAGCCTCAAGGTGATAAGCATTAAAAAAAAAAAATCAGTTATCTTATGGCACCCATACAGCATCTCTTAGTTTGCAGAGAGGGGGAAGAAGGAGGAAAAGGAAGTGGAAGCATTTCTCATCTAGTTTCTTATAGGCAATTGATTTACTGTTATTATCATCACCTTGCCCGTATTCTTTTCTTCCTACCCTTTTCCCCCTGATTATCAATCCCATATTCCTGCTATCCTGTTTTAAGTACCTAAGATTCACAATACTGCAGGCTGCTTTTCACTGAAGAGGGAAGGAGCATGCACTTATGCACAGGCTCATTGTAAACATTCTCATACTCTTGGCTGTTTTGGATGCTTTCGAGACTTGCACCTGAAACAACCTAAGAGAGTTCTTCACAGCACTGCCAAGAGCTGAGAAGCCACAGCCCATCTGCTCAAAAAGAGCCATTTTGCACATCAGTGACAGCACGGCCACAAAGTGTCTGCCATCAAGCGAGCACCAAGCTTATGCACTGTGCTCAAAGGAACGAGGCAGCCACACTGCTTGTTTGGTCTGACTGTCTGCACACATGCCAATCCCCCTAAGTCACTGGCTGAGGGGACTGCAACGTCCCCACCCTACCCACTCCCACTGCTCAGTTTGTTAGCTGTCATTAAATCCCACACCTAAGATGCTTTTTCACAGAATACCCACCTCCTGGGAAAGGTATTGACCACAAGCATACCCTGAAGATGAGCACCACTCCTGTAATGGCCAGAGCTTCGGCAGGAGTTGCAGGTACGCTCTGTTGGCCATGAAGCCAGCAGAGGGCATGTTCTCTGAAGGCAAGGCCTCTGTATGGCAACCCTCACCAAGCTGCTGCCCCGACTGCTGGGATTAATAACAGCTAGTTTATTACATACATGCCTCGTGACTGACCGATTTTGCTGCCCAAAGAGGCACAGGTTGCTTCACCATGCATTTGGGAGTGCTGTGAAGTTTCTCCAAGGTCTAACAAAGCATACACTGATGGTCTCGCTTTTCCCTTGTAAGGGAGAAGGGGTTTTCTCTCCCCAGCTGTCTGTTGCTCTTCTCTCACTGCCTCTTGGCCAGATCTGGGCAAAATCGACTGAAGGGCTCAAAATACTTCTGTTTCCTCTCCCTGTCCCACAAGGAGGTCACAAAAGCCTCATTTCCTGAGGAGAACAGGTTGAAAATAAACTAAAAAACCTTAGGGATATTTTTTCCTTGTGACAATCCCAGTGACACACCTCACCCAGCACAGGGACAGCTGACACTGGAGTTCAGATGTCTCTAAGCTTTGCCCTTGGGATGTCACAAGAGCCCTGCGATCCACGCGCCTACAAGCACAGAACTGCTGCCTTGTAACAGGACAACAGCACATTTCAATCAACAGTGTCTCTCTGGCGCTGACCTCCATTGCTTTCTTCAGAGAAGGGCATTAATGCCTAACTGTGCAATGCTATACTGCAGAGGAAAGATTTCTTCCTACCCTCAGTAGGCAATCAATTTGTGCTCTGAAACAGGAGGATCCATAGTACTTGTAATTGTTACCCAAGCTGGTGAAACTGCAGGTATTACTCTTATTCATCGGTGACTAATCCATTTTTGAACTTCACTAGCCTCTGTATTCCATCAATAGGCTGTAGTTTTCTAGATCCTAGTCATCACTCTGGAATCTACGGACCAACAGGTACAAAACACAGGTTGATAAATAACAGGGTTTGCGTTTCCCCACTGTTTTTTTAGTTCACATGACAACCGCATGAAAGAGGTACAGAACAGGATGCAGGGTTTGACTTGTTCTGGCTCCCAGGACACCTGCCCCAGAAAGAGGGGAGGGGAGAAAAATTAAAATAAAACATTTCCTGCTACTCCTTTCCGCAGCAGAGTTCAGCCTGTGGAATCCACTGGCACAGGAGATCAAAGGAGGTATGTCAAACAACAGATGACCACGATCATTTAGCTAACAGCTGACACAATAACAAAATGGCTAGATTCAGCTACAAGACCTGGGAAAGGATGGCTTGAGATAACACACCTTTCTGCAAACACTCGAGATGGCCAAATGTTTTACACCTGCTAGTTTTAAAGAGTTTGGTTCTTCTTCATTCACATTATGGAAATGGTCTGAACCTGGGCAGAAGAGGCCTTCATATAGAAGTTGCCACCTTCATCAGCACAGATAACATATTAGACCCCAAATAAGAGGTCCTGGTACCACTCCAGAGCCTGCAACCCTCCATCACACAGTTGTATATGGCAGAGATATGCCAGGGAATCATACATATTCCTCCATGTGGGGGAAAGAAAAAGGATGAGAAGTATGAGTGACAGGGTTTTACCTGATGGCAGGTGATGAGCAAAGCTGTCCATACAAAGAAACCTGAGATGGCCTGAGCAGCGGTGGTCATGAGGAATATTGGCTGCTCCACAGCTGTGGGGCTGCCATCCTCCGGCATCCAGGAGAAGTTGGGAGCCACAGCTGGAGTGGTGGCACTTGACCCCAATCTGGGGGCTGCAGTGACATCAGTCATCACTATCATGGTGCCTTTTGGTGTGATGTGCCAGTTGGGATTGCTTAATAGCCACCCACGAGCCAAGATCTGTTAAGGGAGAGAACCAAAAAGCAATTGAATCCAGCTGAAAGGACTCAGGAGCGTAACAGTACTTTGCATCTCTCACATGCCTTTCACCAGGCTGCTCACATGCTTTACAAACAGGACCTGGGTTGAATCCAACTGAAAGGACTCAGGAGCATAACAGTAACAGTACTTTGCATCTCTCACATGCCTTTCACCAGGCTGCTCACATGCTTTACAAACAGGACCTGGGTAAGTCTGCCGCTGCCAGCCCTCCTGACACAACAAATCATGTGGTACCCAGGAACCTCTCCACCATTCACAACACAGCCTCCCCAAGATCATGAAACACTGCTACCACCATTCTCACCATCCTTCTGCAACAAAAATATTTAAGAACAAGATGAACACAGCATTCACCTGAGATCAGAAGTAAGTATCTAAAATGCCATACTGGGAGATGACAGGCACACCTAAGTTAACAGCTCTACTTTCCACGAAAGCACTGGCTTATTCCGCTGTGTCCTGAAAAGCCAGAGTCTTAGTCTTACAGTTTCATGTGGAAGGCAGCAGAACAAGCAGCAGCAGGCAATGAGAACATGCACCACAAAGTGTCAGTGCACAGCAAGGGAGAAAGAACATCCTTATTCCTTCAGTGAGCAATCCCCACCTCTTCTACTGCCATTCTGAAAACCACACTCAGTTCAAAGCACCTTCATTGGAAGGATATGCGCTGAAAGCTCTCCCCACTAGAAAGAAGAGCACAAATGTGATGCTTTTACCAAACATCGTATGGCATGGTACACTTAGCGAGCCTGTCATTAATTCTACTAACTTAGCACTGTTTTCTACATGACATGAATTTAACCTGATTGGCTTTTAAAAGCCAGTTTATCCATGAAAACACACCCAGAACACAAGGATATGCAAGATTTCAAAGCAGCATGATCCACAGTCATTTTCTGGATGAAAAGCTCTTTTCTTTCTATGGAATAAATTTTTGAAGGTCTACGATCTAAAGGAGCTATTATTTTCAATTTGGTTGTAATCAGGCTCTAATGTGACCCCAGGATCCGAGGAAGATAATCCACTTAAACCATGATCACAAGCAGGCAGCCATTGGTTCTATCCACCAGAAGAGCTGCTTCTGATGCAGTTGTAGCAAAGACGTGGTTATCAAGGGGAAAGGCATTATATTGCCTCCTCCTGATAACCTCCTAATAGTTTTTGGGATGGCCTTTCTGTAAAAGTGCAAGATGTAGCTCTTACACAGGCCTTTCAGATCAGCAGGTGGAAAGGGCTTTAGAAAGGCCAACCATTGCCACAGTTTACAGCTGCAGCAGGGAAGGACACGTCTGTCATTTACTGACAGGTCACAGCACAACACAAAAGAGAACATAGATCCACAGATGAATGGCTCTAGCCTTGCTTCACCTGAAGCCACAGCACAAATCGGGGAACAGGCACCCAGTAAAAGCAGAGGGCCAGGAGTAAATCATTTCCATATGCACACTAAGGTGTGCAAATGGCCCCTCTACTACATGCTTTTCCAAAACATGCACTTGCACTATCAATGCACATCCCTCTGATGTTACTTATGCCACATTCTACCTCATTTCTGCTTGCTTGCAGAGGAGGAAGAGAACAAATACAAATCCTCGGAAATATCCAGATTTGTTTAAGCCGGTATTATCTTACTATAGAGGGAGCCGCACAACTTTATGGTTTAATTTACAAAATAATCATCAAACTTGGCTTTTCTTAATTTTTTCCAGTCATTCTTTTCCCAAAATATCCCTGCTCTGAGTTACAGCTTTCCATAACTGCACGTACTGAAGGGTAATTCCTTTCTAGTCCTGATCAGCACAGGAAATATAACTGTTATGTTTTGAGTTTCAAAGCATACACACATTATCTATACTAGATCTAAAAATTTGGAGAGATGAAGGCTGGACAGAGATGTCACAAGGTAGCAATTGCTTTGAGAAGAAAGGGATTTCTACCCAAGTGACTTCTGAAGCGACTGCATGCTTACAGTGCTGAGAGCGCTTCCACTAAGCTCACAAAGGGCACATCTAAAATGAAATCAGAGCAGATGCACCTGTGGTTAACCTAGCTCTAAATAAAATCCGGCCAGCTGCGATCCTGCACATCCCAGTACACTTTGGAAGCTATGCAAGAGAGGAAGCTGCTAAGCTCTTCCTAAAGTTCATGGGGTAAAGGATCTCTACTGCAGACCACCAGTGACAGGACCTGGAGCACCATGCTCCAGCTAATCAAACTGCACCAACAGAACAGACCCAAATGTAATGCCAGTAACATCAGCAGAACTGAAGATCTGAAAGGGAATTCCTCTGCTTCTCTGCACTCATTTTAAAAGAGGCTGAAACGGCAAAGAGTAATCAACAAGCATTTGACATGTCAAGGGTTACATATTCAGAAGGAAGGACACTTACAAGTTCAAGTAGTATATGTAACCTTAACACTGCCCCCTTGTGATTATACATCAACTGTCATTAATTACATGATTATGTATCATTCTTCACCTAATCCCCTTTAATTCACACAGTCATTGAAACTAATAGCTCTTTCCAGCACTGTGTTCTGAGAGAAAATATATAAACTTTCTTAACCAAGGCTTCACTTCTCTTCTCCTACCCCAATCCACCTCACCCATGAGCACCCCCCTGTTCCTCAGAGTTGCCCCTGAAGACAACTTCTTAATTGATTTATACTTTTTATTGGTTGTAAGCATCAGCTCGCAGTTCATTCTCCTTGCTAGTGAAACACAAAGGAACACTGTACTCCCAAATCTGCAAAATTAACATATACCTTCCAAATCATCCCTTCTAATCTCCTAAGTCCCATACACCATTGCTAGTGACAGGTATAAGCAGTGCACAAAGCTGTTATGAAAGACTACCGTATGCAAGAAGCCGAAACTGTACGAGCAATTCTGTATTACATTTAAGAAACAGTTAATAGCACAGATGACTAGAGCCTTAAGGAGATGAGTGGATTTCAGCTCGTTCACTACCACCAGCTCAGAGTCTGCTAGCTCCTCTTTTGCCTTGTTAGAAAGAGCAACATAAGGGCAGGCTACGGCAACTGTCTTAATAGGCCTTGTTTCTGAGATGCCTCTTCCCCACCGTGCAACAGGACATAAGACCAGCACAGGCTTCCAGCAAAGGTGGTGCCTGGGAACACATCACAGCAAACACACTGCCTTGACAAGCTACAGATCCGCCACCCTGGTGTAAGCAGCTTCCCTCTTACCTGGCACAGTGAATGTGTCTTCATACTTGTTTCTTGGACACCTACCTCCATCACAGCCCATGTCAGTACCACAATACACCTTCCTGCTTCCTCTCATGCCCAGGGAAGAAGGTTCTTTCCAACAGCCACAAACCTGTTTCATATTCACCTTGATTTTCTCCATTCTCCCACTTTGCTACTCTAGCTGTGCAACAACCTGACAACAGTTAGGCTGCTGGCTGTGATCTCTCTTCCGTGTGCTCCTCCCAATTGGCTGTATTTCTCTGTTGTTTCTTGTGCATTTTAAGCTCCTTGGGACAACTATCTGTTTGTTTTCCGCCTGTACAGTTCCCAGCACTGCAAGGTACCAAACCATGAGGAAGGCACTTGACATTACCATATCGCAAATTAGGGGCATTTAGAAACCTGAATTACCAATGCAATACAAACCAGACTAACCCAACACATAATAAATTTTGAAGAGTTCTTCACTCTTCTGCCATATCCTGTTTTCTCTGCCCATCTCTTTCACCTCCACCTCATTGCTTCCATTTCAAGGGAGAGTAAAGTTACTTGCACACTTATTCTCCCTCTCTGGAGGGCTCGCCTAAATATATCAAAGGAAAATATTTCAACACTTCTAGATTTCACTCTTGAAGCTTTCCCTATCTCCAACTGACTATCTTGCTCCCCCCGGAGGTAACCTGCAATATAGCATGTCCCAAGCAGGACCAGGAGAACATATAGCCAGGAACCAGGAAAACCACCAAACTTTGGAAACATGCACGCAGGAAAATACATCTGGGTAAACACACAGGGCTTTTGGATGGAGGCTTAGGTGTATTTCAGGATGGCCACAGGAAACTTGGATCTGATGGTACAATTCCTGTATGTGGGCTACATGAGCTTCAGGCACTCCTTAGGTCTGCACCCAACAACCCCAAACATGGAAGGCAGAGATAACACCCCCATCCCCAACAAGCTGTTAGGTGTTCCTACCCAGATGCCATTACAAGTTACACACATTAGAGCGAGACAGGACCTTGTACTGCTAGGGCATTAGCTTAAACACCAACCTAGTGCCAACTTAAACTTATCTAACAGATTTTCTGAAAGCACTTTAGGAGTATTAGGGTCTGCTCTCAATGCAAGGAGGAAAAAAGAAATAAAGCAAAGCATGTGCTATTTATGTCAAGATAACAATCCTGATAAAAACCTAGAGACGCAAAATGCCGTTACTGTGATTCTATGATAAGGAAGGGGCTCCAACCCGCGTGGGAACCAGTTCCATTACAGACACCACACCAGTGTAAAGCTACTGGGGATGTGTCTGCGGGGCCTGCGTCCACAGAAAAACAGCAGCGCAGTAATTCTCGATCAGGAGCAGATTGCCCATCCTGTATCTTTTGGAAACAGAGGCCTTCTGTCTCTAACATTAACATGGCAGCTTCTTCCACTGAAAATAAACTCAGAGCATAAACAGAAGGGATGTGGCACAAGTGAAAACAAAAAACTTCATTTTTGGCTTGCGTAAAAGCATGGAAAATGTTACCACTGAAGAGGAGCTATTTCTACATAAACATAAATACGTAACCCCAAGCAACAAAAGCAATGTAAGAGGAGGGAAGAAACATGCAAGCTTGGTCCTTCAGTTCCTAGGGGTACTTCTGAACATATATTCAAATAACAGAGCCTAGTAAAGGGGGAGCAGGCTGCCTGCTCTGAGCAAGACCTGCTCCGTTGTGCTGCTGGTGACA